GTATTAAGGTAATCTCTTTGGTCTGAGAATGTTTTATTAAATATACAAATATGTTTATAATTACAATAAAGGTACATTAAACTACATATGCACTTTTGGTGTCTAATTTAAGTAGTCTGTTTGAAGGTTTTATACTATTTGCTATACCTACACCCTAACTATGAAGAAATACCTATTTAAACTTTCTGGTTACAACTATATACCTCAGACACCTAACTCTAGATATTAGTTCACTATATATATATATAGATTTTGCTATCTATCTATATAGATTTTGTATTCTACCTTAAGATCATTTATCCTTAAGATAAATCTAATAGAGTGGTTTATGTTCTATATATGTTTTCACCTATATATTCAGTAACTTCTTTCTAACTAGTATATGCTATACTGCTATACTATATATATATCTCATGTTATCTTTTAAAATACTACTATTTTATAGTTACTTAAACTACAATCTTTTTAGTTAGCCACTTATTATATACTCATTGCCCTTATTAGGTTTACAACAATCTCAGTACCTATATTCTAACTTCTTTTATTTCTGAATTTTTTACTAGTCCCTCTCTTATTTCTAGCCAGCAACTTAGAAGTGTTAGTCTGTTCAGGCTTTAAGTGCCTTATAGTCACTTTTTCTTTGATATATACTTTTAAAGTACATGTTCTTTTCCTCCAGTTGGTGATTTGGCAATTTAGCTAGTATGTCCTCCCACTTAAGGACCTGGTTACTTGGTTTTCCAATCTCAATTTCTAGTTTTAATTTCAGTCTTTCTGTAGCACTATCAAAGATTATTGCTACCTCTTAACTTGGAACTTGCCAAATGGGTTTTTGGTTATTCTAGTTCTTTGAATTTATTACACCAGAGCTTTCATTTTAGATGGTATAACCAAGGTTACAAATTAGAATTCAACTGATTAATGATAGCTATTAACTGTATTACAAGCTATTTTTGAAAATATCACCTGTAAGATTCAAACTCTAGATCTGCTATCTAGAGATGCAACAACTCTACCACTTCACTAAATCACTATACTCTTTTTTTAAAATTAGTTTTTATAATAAAATTTTGCAATATTAGTATATAAATTATAAAGTGGTTATATTATCAAAAGGCAAGTTAGCAATATTCTTTTTTTTTATATTAATATAGTATATATATATATATATTTTTTTATTCTTAGACAGTTTTGTTAGAGCTCAAATACAAAATTATATTATTACAATAAAACAAAAGCTACTTTAATAAAATCTCTAATTTTAAAATTGTAAGCTCAATATCATCCAGCTGCTATATGAAGTGCCCAGATGTGACCCATTGCACTAATATCGAAAATAAATTTCAGTTAGGAGACCTTGTTAATCTGTCAAGAACTAATCTCTTCAATCTTTCTTTCTTTACTGAGAGCACAAGAAAGTAAAATCTTGTACTACCAATACAGAATTAACATTAAGAAAAAAATACAAAACTAAAACTAAAACAAAACATATAATGAAAGGGGGATTAAAAAAAAAAAAAATGAAAAATATATTTGGGTGACGCTCATAATTATTATTAAACAGAAATCCTTATTACTAAAATCACACCTGTTTTGATGCAATACCATCATATTGAAAGACTCATTTGATATTGGAGTAGGTGGTTGATATATTTTTACTGCATCATCTGTGAACATTCGATGTAACCGTTGGTCTCTCACATTTCCCAATCCGTATAATGCTAATACAGTTCTGCCTTTTCTTAACAATATTGGTTTAACAACAATATTTTCCACGACACTAGTTTTACCAAAATAATTCACGAGGCCTGAAACTGCAAGAACGTCCAAGGCACAAAGGTTTCCATCCTTGCAAAATGGTGTTGGGCTTTAATATGAGATGATAAAATGAAATAAAATAAAATAAATTAACAAAAATCGAATTACACGTACTCCGGATGGATCATCATGGTTGCCATGAATAGAAAACACAGGCATTGCAATTTTATAATTAGGATCTTGAAAGTTCACTTTAATAAAGTTATCACTGGTAAAATAATAAAAAAAATATTTAAATAAAATAAAGATCAATCACAGAATTTTCAAAAATGAAAAAAATTCATTGGGGAAATCTTAACTCTTTATTTTCAGTATCATCATTAATGATATCCAATTGACATTGTTTATCGCCCATACAATAAGTACGAAGTATTTTCATAGTCTCGTAAAGTACCTTTCGAGAAGGTCTATTCTCGTGAAAAAGATCCCCGCCCAATAGAACCATATCAACCTTAATATCAAAAATTTGTATTTTTCTGTTGAATTTTGTAATAAGAAATTTCTTATTTACGTGCTGCCACATTTATCTTACGTCATTTTGTTTTGCTATCTGCAAAATTTCTCTAAAAGTATTCAAAGAATCCTGTCCACGAATCGGATCGTTCTCCAAATAACCCAAATGGTTATCAGTAGCAATTAAGATAGAAATACAATCATTCGAATCTTCGTCGCGTATTTCAGTGACGCTATTGAAATTGTTACTTGACGCGTTTTTTAAAGTATATACATGAAATTAGCTTAATCACATTTCAAAATATGGGTACAAGTACACATGAATAAATATTATCAAAGTCAACTAACACGTCCATATCAGCCGAAGAAATATCAATGTTTAATATTGCGAGTTAAAATTTTGCTTTATTAAATTACTGCGCTAATCAAGATTGTTACACAATTTAAAAATTTTTTATACGTATTGTTTTATTTATAGTTCTCATTATGGAATGGAACGTAGGCTTGAATATTTCGTACTTTAAATAATTGATAATGAGAGTATAAGCGGATTTTATATTTCAACCGGTTCAACTTTAGCCGCGACGATAATTAACATTAGAATTTAATTTGACTTTCACTTTGACCGGCTTCCATATACCGGGTAACGCTAGGTAAACAGTCCAACATCGAAATGTGTAACTTAAACCTTCATATTAATGAATGAGCATATTAATTACTAACTGAAAAATAAAGCCTTATAAAAGATATAAATACCCATTATGTTCCAAAGTTATATGTTAAAGCCCAA